GGGCGAGAGGGGGGAGGGAGGGAGGGGGGAGAGAACGGGGCCCGATTTTCTTGCGAGGGGAGATCCGGCGAATCTTGATCCCGCGAGACTCCCAACGGGGGGGATCTTCGTGTACGACGCACGGGGCGGATTGTAATTGAGGACGAGTTCGCCTTCAAGGACGCGGACCTTGAAGGTGTAGGTACCGCTCACGGACTGGCTGAGGCCCGCCACTCGTCGGGCCTTATATTGCCACCACCACGACGGTGCTCGATCGGGTCCCCTCTTTCTCATCTTTGAGCATTGCCGCCCGCGTAGACCTCCGCTGTGATCCAGGTACGTACGAATCGACACCACCGGTTTGTCCGAGACACCCTGAGCGCGCGATAGACGCGGACCCGTCGATAATCGCGCGCGCCCCCTTCCGACCACTCGCTAACTCGGGGATGAACGTCCTTCATTTTCGGCATGAGGTCGTAACGTTGCGGCAATGTCGGTGGAAATTTTGCGACGATGCAACTTTCGCAGGCGTCGAAATTGGCGAGCGCGTTCTGCGGACGATTCCGCGAATCGTAGAAGACGACCCGCGGGTCATCGTTAATCGTCCGCTCGTGAGAAGGGAAACGGGTAGCTGGCGGTCAATAATTTCCCGTCTGTGGTATGAAAGTACCGTGCTGTGATTCCCGTAGTGTCGGGTAATAGGTTCGAGCGCACGACCTCGACCTAGGAACACCTGACGGAAGTAACTCCGGCCGCAACTCCGAACGCCGCTTTATGCGCTCGCGTAAAATTCTCGCGCGAAACAGCAGCGCTCGCCCCGAGTTAATCTTCGTCACTCTGCGCGAGCTTAATGCGAATTCGATTCGTGGTGATTTACGGCGAGCGATAAAATGGACGGGCAGGTGGGAACGATAAAACGACCCGGTATTAGCCGCGCAGAGTATGACTTGGCGCGTTACAAGAGCGAGTGCGCATAGCGAGCGGGCGCTTGCATACCTTCTCCGCGCGCGAAACGCGCCGTAAAATCAGGAAAGTCGGGGAATTCCGTTCTCGCGGAGATAATAAATATCACCGGGCCGTTTACGTGTTCGCGCAAATCTCCAAAGTCGGCATCGCCGGGATGGAGACGCGTTAACTCGCGAATCTCTTCGCGTTTGCGGAGGAGAGGAGGGAGACGCGCGGACGTCGTTGGCATTTCGGCGGAGTTTGCGTTGACAGGACGAGAAAGTGATGAGAGGCCACGATGACGTAAGTTTGTCAAGGTCGGCGGAATAACGACCTCCTTGGACGGATCGTCGTTTCGGCAGGCAAGGAGAAGGACGTTTCATAGCTGCGTTCAGCGGAAAATGCAGCTCGGCCTAGTAAACGCTTTCCGAGATTTGTTACAACAGCAATGTTACTTTTTGCGTGTGACAAGTTTCTCCGCCGTCACTGTGTTGACGAACGATTTGCTGTTCCCTCAAATGTTTCCTGTTCCCTCCAATGTGCTTCTTCCAGCAGCCATAAGCACGCGCATCGAACGACCGCACCGGCCGCTAGAGTCGAAATTTGGATGCTGCTTTGACGCTCTTAACAGTTTGCTTAGATGTATAGACCGATAAGAACCTCAGCAACTTCTCTCTTGAACCTTTGATTCTACATATTTCATTTTAATGCTACCTTGAAGGACCTATTTTCACGCTGGAGCAGCGCAAATGGAAATCGAAGACATCATCGGGGTGAAAGCAAGAGTGAGTTATATTATTAGAATTGAAATTCACTCCATCTTACTATCTTAGCTCCTGCTGTAGAATCAAAGGTTCAAAGTAAAGGTTCATCGAGGAAGACGCGGCGATGGTTGTTGCGCGCGTCGTGGCAGCTTCCAGCGAAGATCCCGAAACGCCTCCTGGTTGATCGGCTTTAAGCGGTTGTTTGCTCATGAGCATAATGCGACCTGAGATCCCGCTGGAAGTCTCTCCGTCGTCGCGGCGATGACGCCATGATTCCGGGCTTGATTCGTATCTGAATTTCATCGGCGTCCGAGAACGAAACGTTTCCGCGTGATTAGCGGAAAGTCTCCCGTAACCGACGTTATCACCGGGTGATATCACGTCTTACGTAACATTTGTTTATATCGAGCTGCGCGGATCACCGGCCGGGAAAAACGACCGCTTTCTACGATGACCTAAGATTTTTACATAACCAAGCCGAGAAGTGATGCGAATAAATATTCGCCCGTCGTCGATGTTATTTCTTACGGGTGTATCAGCGCGGCCCGTCGGCGTCCTCGCCGTGGAGCTGCGGTCGCGGCGGCCGCGATACGCGCTCGAAAGTGAAACCACCACGGTGGATGCAGTCTCGTTCGCTGCCGGGTCGGCCCTCCTGTGCGATGACGGACCGTTCGAAATATCACAGTATCGTGACACAATCCTCTCTCGCACGTAAGCGCCGGATCGGACCTGCCGTTCTTCCTCGGACAATGCGCCGGCGTGATCTCTCATTGGCGCTTTCGCAGGCAGCCACACGGCGGATCTGTTTTTTTCTCAAATGTCACCGCGCGCGAAAAGGGGAGAAAGAGGGGCGAGAGGGTTGTCTTGGCATTTTGGACGGGCCGCACGTGCTCGTTGCACCATCGTCGCACTCTCGTGCGCGCGCCTCGTCTCGCTCCCGTAAATGCCAAGCTCCTCTCTCTCTCTTTCCCGCCGCTTTTCGTCCTTCCATCGATGACTCGGCGAGAAATCATTGCGATCCACGCTGCCAGGAATGTGCCCTTTTGCCGAGCTCGCAGATCCTCCGTGCGACTCCCCGGTGGGCACGCGAACGCCGATGATGGATTCGTGCGAGCTGGTGTTCTCGGCGAAACCTCGCCACCTCCGTCGTCGTCTCCGTCGGCTGGCGCCGCCGTCGGAGATCCGTCGGGCAGACTCGCGTTTCCACGGTACTTGGCGGTTCTGGGAGTTGCTAATATCGCACTCCATATGGCGCAATCGTGAACACAATGTTCACTGGACAGTGAACTCGAAACCGCTAGAAAGTGTGTCTCGACCTAACGCGCGACTGGTGTGTATGTTGCGGCTGTAAACGCGACTTGCTTGCGCGACTGCTGTTTGATCGCACACACACACAGCTCTTCTGCGTTCGCCTCGAGCCACTCGGCGAACGTTTCATCGTCTCGGGAACAATGACGCCCGAGCACGCTTCTTCTTTTTCTTCTTCTTCTATCGAACATATGTCGAGCCTCGCACGGAGAACCCATCGCGGATCCGCGCCGCAGGAATTTGCCCTTTGCCGGTTATAAAACCGGCGACCGTGCAAAATGCCATTTTGCTCGGCCGACGCGAAAGTATCGAAACGCGCGACTATCATTACCGTCCAATTACGCGACGTCGACGACGTTCCCGATCGGACGCGATTCCGCCTATTCGTCGTTGGCCGATCGACCGGTGGAAGTGCCGCGAGTCGCATCGTAGCGACGATGAAATGTATCCTCCGCTTCGATAGACTTCCTCAATCGAGGATCCGCACGCGTGTCGATCCGCCGCTCGCTCGCTCGCGAGCAGGAAGTGCGTTCCGCGAGAGGATGCGTTCATCCATCCTCGACCGAACGGCAGGTTACGTTTCCTCGGGCTGCCTCGCCCGGCGGCGCCTCTAAGTGCAACGATGATTCACGTAATTACAATCGCCGAACGGCGCGATTACGACGCGCATCCCGCGCTTAGAAAGCGGCTCGCGAGGGATCCATCTCCCCGAGACTTCGTGGATCTCGTAGTCGATAAAACCGTTGAGGCCGTCCACCCGGAGATTGAATCGTGAGACCCGTCGGCCCGTCAAAGAGTGGAGTCACGACGGACGAATTAATTTGCCGTCAGGCGATCGATCCGTCAACGGTGAGCACGGTAATCGCGACGGGATCACGCGGCGGCGAACGTGTGTGATTCAGACGGGGCTTTGTTCGCCGATCGTGCGAACACACACGTGCTTCTGTGTTTGAATTCGCCAGTAAGTATTTTTCCCCCGAGTCTAGCTTGCTCTGCCAATCGTGTGTATCGTACCATTCCCCGCATCGGAGATTGTACGATTATCAGCCCCGCATATATCGTTCAAAACAATTAGAGTTTATAAAACTCCATCGCACATTATAATCAGAGTTAGTCGTGCGATGTTTTGCATTATGCGTGAGGTTGAAAATCGTGTAGTTTTAGCAAATGTACCGGATTCAATCGGTCTTATCTGACTGATCATCTAAGCGACTCTATCACGATCAAGAATTGATTGTGGAAGGGCGTCGGCGCATACACGCGAGGACGAGCGGAGGTACAAATTGAAAAGGAAGAAGTGGTGTATAAACCAGCGTACGCTTTCGAGTATGATTTCCACGTCCGGTGGTTCGTGGCGCCTTCTCGATCTCGCGGAACGTGCCTTGATCCCCGACGAGACTCGGGACTCCGATACCTCGGGAATTTTCGATTCGGAGGATTACATAAGTTTTCCAATTGCAAAAGCGCCTCTCCGCGGTACGTGGACTTTTACCCAGCGGCGGAAACTTTCCAAACGTTTCGCGCGCCGATAGAAGCGGCCGCGCCTTAGGCAACGCGGCGGTCCCTTATCAACTGGCGTTGCGAAAACGCGAGCCTTTCGGGGCAGATCGGTGCGGCCCTGACGTGACATATGCCACGGCGGTGAAAGGAAAGAAGACGAGGCGACGACGATAAAACGGCAAAAGCAACAGCCCGGCCAGGCGTCGGCGAAGCCTTCGAGGCGGAGAGCTTTCTCTGCCCGCGGCATCGCGCGCGAGCCGCCTAGATACCGCGGGCTCCATCTCTCGTTGATCCAGCGTATCGTCCGCCGACGATCCTCTCGATCGTCGATCCTCGATCGTCGAGCGATCGCTTCCCCGACCATCCGAAACGGTGGCTCGCGATCGTTCTTCTCTTCTCCCGTCGTGAAGAAACGGGGATTCATCAACCCGCCGGCCGACGCTGCGATCGCTATTATCATGGAGATTGAATCTGAGAGATGGGAGAGGAGAGGAAACGGCTGTATAATCGTGTGTTGGTACGAGCGTGTCGCACGGCTGCGCTATCGTGAATCGATCACAGGGATCCCTCTCCTCGCGAGAACTCGTTTCGCCGGTAATTGAATTAATAATTAGTCGCGCCAGACGATTAATCCGCACGTGCTCCCCTCCCCCCGGCGCAAAATTCGATCTCTCCTCGCCCGCTTAACTTCCCCCGGCCGATTACTTTTATCACGGTCGAGCCCTGAATGTCGACCCGCTGTTGTCACACACACACACACACGGAGGGTGTTACAGGCACACGGACACGCGACGTTCGTCAAAGCCCGGTCTGAATTAATCAACGCCCCGGCAGGAAAGTGGCAGATCGACGTAGCGTCGTTGCGACGTGTCGGCGCGATGCGGCGGAACAGCGGGATCTCGTGAAACTCCCAATTCTCCTCGGAGAGTAGCTCGACGGCGACCTCGGGATTCTCGACATAACGCGCGAACGAACGGCGGCGCGCTCCGATAACACCGAATTCACCGAACGGTTTAATTAATAACGGTTTAAGCAGCGGGGCCCGCATGCGCGGGGAATTCAATTAACGTCGCGCGGCGCGCGAGCGGAATCTGTAAAGACGAAAACAACAACAGCGATAATACAGTTTACGCCGGGGCGCGCGCGGAAGGGAGGAAATTATACGTTGCTCCGTTCTATTCCGCCCCCCTTCCGTTCGCGAATTTATGAGGCGCGCCGCTTTAAACGCGGATATTCCCGCGATACCTCGAGAAACGCGGTGCCTTGAAACTGCGTCTTCAAGGCGGAGGTTTATTTATAAGTATCCCGCAATTGAAGCGAGTGAAAATAGAAGTCCTTTAGCGGTAGTCGGGCGCTGTTGCCCGCTGAATATTCACAAGCCCGCTCGCTCCCGGCTCGCTGCCGGGGAAATTTCACGCGCATACCTACTTTGCGGTACGCGCGGTACGTTCGTGCGGCCGGCCGAACGGCCTCGCTAAATCTTCCTGAGCCGAGCGCAAAATTCCACCCCGATTCCGCTTCTCCCCCACGGAGCGCGCGACGCCGCGCGAGCCACCCCTTCCTTATTCGTCGCGATGGCCTCATTTGATCGTCGCATTAGCGACGCTTCGCGAAGGAGTCTTCGTCGGAAAAATGCGTCTTGCTGATTTCCACCGGACACACGGTGTAAAATGACCGAAGGCAAGAGGGACACCTGTTGTTTTCGTATCCGCTTTCTCGCACGTTTACGAAACAATCCCTCGAAGGTGATCCGAGGAAATTGATCGCTGACAAATATCCGCGAAACGGCGAGCTATTCCCCCTCTCCCCCCCCCCCCCCC